CTCTCTCTCTCTCTCTCTCTTTCACTAACTCTATCTATTTTCCTATTTATTTTTATGTAGATGCATTTTGTCTCTCTTATCCTTTTCTTTTGTTTTTTTTTGTTTTTAATAATTGTGTTGTGTTTAGTTTTTATTTATATTTTTTCCTTGGGTATGCCTTTAGGCCTGTTTTCATTTTTTTCGTCTACGAAAATAAATGCTCCGGTCATTTTCTTTTCGAATTTTAAATTTCTTTTTCATTTTTTTTTTTTTTAATTTTTTAATTTCTTTAAGGAAAATTTTTGTTTTGTTTTTATCATAAATTTTGCACATCCATCTCTCTCTCTTTTTTTTTCTATCTCCTTTTTGGTTTTTGTTTTTTTATTTTGTAATCTATTTTCGATCAGTAGAATTAGATACGAATGAGAACATAGATTCCATTTGGATATTTTATCGACGATTAATTTTTGTATCTTGAGTAAATATGTATACCGTGTGCCAATAAATTAGATTTCATAAATAATGTCATCATCTCGTGGAATCTACGTTAATTGCTCGTGAATAAATTTTAGTATTTATTATATATCGTATTTTGCTTAGACGATGAAATTTTTCATGGCACGAAGTATTTTGAGAAATGAGATCGTAGCAATTAGTGAGAGTTGTTATTTCCGTATCTATTTATTTATTTTTTTGTATGCTCTCTTCCCTTTTTTTCCATCGAATACGTCAATTTTTATTTTCCAAATAGAAAAGTACTCGATCCCCGAATAGACAAGATAAAACACGGCAAAGTTTTCACGTACAACAAATTTTTCTTTTTAAATTTTACATCTATATATAGATGTAATAATACATATGTATAAATATGTATATTTTAGTTATCCTATTTTTTATGGCATACGTTTAGCGACATATTTGAATTAGTAATGAATTTAACTTTTATATATATATATATTTTTTTAAATTTATTTTTTTGTGTCTTTTACATTTCAATGTAACATTATTATTTAATATTGTTTTTGTTAACAAATGCGAACATTTTTCTTCTTCTTCTATTTCTTCTTCTTCTTCTTCTTTTTTTGATACGAGCATGCAAGCTGCTGTTTACTATATATGTAGAGAGTCTCATAAAAGAAACTTTTCGTTGTGACGTGCATCAAATGGATTATGAAATTTATTATTATTCTAATAATTATTCGCTCCTACATATATATATATACAATCACGAAAGCCTCGACACCTGAATTTCATTTGATTATTCTTCGAGACGTGATAAAGGAAATAATTAGAATAATTAAAGAAATATCTGAAGAAAAATGAGGAAAAATCAAATTTAGATGTGCAGAAAAAAAGAATGTATTTTCGAAAGTCTCATTTCCTTTCTCACGTTTTTCGAGATAAGATTTCTATAAAATAATTTTGTAGAATTTAGAAGGACAGATTTTAGATGGCGAATGCGATGTGTTGCGCTTAGATCATTCAGAATGATTATCATCGAATCTCAGAGTACTGTGAGAAAGGAGAATTCGCACGAAACGAGCATGTTAATCCGAATATAACAACATTAGTATTGCGACAAATTTATTATTGTCGTTAAATAAAAAAAAAAAAAAACCCAAACAAACGAGAAAAAAATTTACAAACGACACTTATAGTAAACGCATATCTACTACGTTTTATGTTCTACGTATCTATTCGATATTAGAATACGAGAAAAACATTTCTATCTAGATTTATATACAGGATGGATAAATAAAATTCTATCGTAACAACATTTGTTTCGACAATGGCCAAACGTTATGGATCTACGGACATTCGTATGAATTACTATTCTTTCTTATCTACCATAAGAAAATTCATTTCTCTATCCAGAGACGTAGTAGCTTTGTTTTATCTATACGTACTTCGAACATTTCAAAAGTCGTATGTTTTTTGCTTCGTAAAAATAAACTTTTAGCTCTCCACACAATCATCCAAAAAAAAAAACAACAGCAATCACCAACCTAACCTCCACCGTTTATCATCGACCCAAAATTACTCGTCCTGTATTACCCCATTCTCTGACTCGATATATTCTTAATTCGATTTTACGATTAATTATTATTATTACTGTATTATTCTCTTTCTACTGCTCTCTATCTCTCTCTCTCTTTCTCTCTCTGTCTCTCTCTCTCTCTCTCTCTCTCTCTCTCTCT